AACAAGGAGGTAAACAGGAGTGGGGAAAGGAAAATAAAAAGAATTTTAAAATGTTATATACATATACCAATTCCCCAAGATGTATGTGACCATTATGTTCTGCAAAGATGTACTAATAAAATTTTTAAATTAAATTATATAAATTTATATTAAAACACAGGTAAGGCTGGGCATGGTGGCACACACCTGTAATCGCAGCACTTGAGAAGCTGAGGCAGGAGGATCACTGTAGGTTAGAGACCAGCCTGAGCTACAAAGTGAGCTCAAGGCCAACCTGAACTGCACAGCAAGACAAAAAAAAAAAAAAAACTACATAAAGATACAATGTTATTGTAGTTATTACATTACTGTATTTCTTTTTCCAACTCTCCATTCTGATACTGTCAAACTATTTAAAATTAGTCATGCAGGAAATATTTAGATTGGAAAAATCTGCAAATGCTAGGAATGAAACCTTTTGATAAACACGGAACAGCAGCTCATTATAGTCCATGTCACTTTGGACAACATTACAATGTAAGTTTTCACACAGCCCTGGAACAATGCTGAGTGACCTTACATCCACACCTTGTAAATACAAACTGCCTCTGGTCCTCCTGACAGTGCTGGGAAAACTCGTGCTCACTAGAGCAATAGCTGCCTACCACGGACCTGGAACCATGTTAATCAGGCACAAAAGCCACTGTGAGGGCTACTTTTCAGTTTAGTTTGTGGTGACTTAGTCATCTTCCAAGATCCATCCAAGCAGCATTTTCTCCAGATACAGGGGATTGAATCCAGTGCCTCACACATCTACACAAGCTACTCTACCACTAAGCTATGTGCACAGCCCTCAATCAATCATTTCTTTTAGTTGTTTTATTTTGTTGGGGTTTGGTTTTGTTTTTCAGTACTAAGGATTGAACCCAAAACCTTGCACATGCCAAGCAAACGTTCTGCCACTGAGCTGCTTCCCCAGTCCTTTTTGGGGTTTTGTTGTTTGCTATTAATCTTTTGTTTCTGTTAGTGCTTGCAGTACATGCAATTTACAGTCACCTTGGGGAGACAGGGTATCACTAAATTGCCTATGCTGGCCTTGAACTTGGAATCCTCCTTCCATAGCCTCCCACAAAGCTGAGATTATGTGCATGTACCATCGTGTTGGGCCTGTAAGACTGTCCTCTGCTTACGACCTTTGTGGAGGAGTTAATGAGCACGTTCTCCCCACGGGATGGACGTCCTGGGATCTCCCTCCCTCCACCATACCGTGTCAGCCCTCTATCTCCAGTGTCATTAAAACAGAGGTCAAGTTCTCCCAAGAAAGAGAGGAACAGTTGCTGGCTGAAACCTTCCCAGCAAAGCGGTATTCTCCTTACCGTTAGCTTCATCTTCTCTGCAGACAGAGGGGGCTGTGGGTTGGTGAACAGCCAGCTCACTTGGGTTCACACATCAGCTAACTACATTGCCTCAGGCAAGTTGTTTAAACCTTCACTTCAACTTCTTATTAAAAGATGATGGTACATAGGGGTATAAGGGACAATCAAAAGTGTGCTGGTAAATTTTAACCACTAACACGTTGCGGGGAAGCAGAGTTTCGTAGTATGTGATCCAGTGTAAACACCCTAGCCGTGGCTAATTCAAGGGACCAGTACTTTTAATAACTACCTGGAAAAATTCCTGAAAATGTAATAATCTTAGTGTATGTGCTGCCAAAGTGAGCACAACATTTAATAATCAAGAGATAGTATGAGCCAAGTCTAGCACATCACACACATGTGCTTAGAAAACTGCCTGGTGTGAACATTAGGAACAACCAGAAACCTACTGTCCATTCAGGAGTGTCCATTCCTCTGTTTTGAGTTTTCTCTTAATGTCCAAGTGAAGACTGCGTCAGTTAAGGCTTCTGTCACAGGTAACTACTGACAGTAGAAGGGACTCTTCTTTGATTGGGGGTAAGGAGAACATTTGCTCTTCTCCTAGGAGATATCAGTCTCCACGTACCCTCCACAGTGGAGCACCAGATTTGGGATTAAGCAGAATGAGTTTGTGTAAGACAAGTTGAATCACACTGATCTAAAAGCCTCACGCCTCCAGCTCTGGACAGGACAGCTATGGTCGCCAAAGCTCCCCAGGGGGCTCCCTCCTTCTGAGATTCCTGGAACATTCAGGGCGGGAGAAGATTCCCTAGAATCTTGTTCCTGGCATTTATTGACCTTAGACAAGTTACTCACCCTTTCCGAGACTGTTCACTGTTTGGTAAAATTAGGGTAACACTGTCTTCTTTGCAGGGTTGCTGTGACAACCAGATGTTCAGGGAGCTGCTTAGAACCATGCTTGGCCCAAAGGAAGCACTCAACAAAGCAGTACTGGCAGCATTTGCAGCCAATGACCACAGGACAGCAGAGACCCCTTTGAAGGGATTCCCAACCCCTACTACCACAAGGCTGATGCCTGGGGACTCAAGAAATAATTAAATGAATAAACTAGTAAGTCAGGAGGGAAAGAACTAGGAGAAAAACCGTAAATGAAAGACATCAAGAGAGGAGTGGCAGAGACACCAAGGAAAATGTAATCTAAAGACATTCAGAAAAAAGGCAGAGAAAGGGGAAGAAATGACATTAGGATGGGGTGACGGATGAGTAAGAAATAGTTGGCTGTTGTTTAGTTGCCAAAAAACTGTGTATTACAGCCAAGACTCACAGTGCAAGTCTACAATCCCAGCACTCAGAAAACAGGCAGGACTGCCATCCCAGGATACATAGTGAGTTCAAAGCCAGCCTGAACTACACAGCAAAGCCCTGTCTCAAAAAAGAATTGTGTATTACAAAGAAAAGGGGTGGTTAATGAATGCAGAGTTTGGGGTGAGTGTTGAAACATTTGGAAGTAGACAGTGTTGGCTGTGTAACTGAACATACTGAAACCACTAACTGGGAAAGTGTGAATTCTGTGATATATAAAATACATCTCAAGAAAGGAAAACAAAACAATAATTAGGAACGGTAGTTCCATCATGAGGTGGGAAATGAGGGGCCAGAATGAGCATACAGGAGATTCTGAAACATTTGAGACTTTTTTCAGTTTCCTGACCCGGTTACTGAGTATACCAGGGGTTCAGCATTATTTTAAGCTGTAGAGATTTGTTTTACTCCCATTTTTGTATGCATGTATGACATTTTAAATAGTATAGAAAAATATCTCATAAAAGGAAAAAGATGGGAGAAAAAGAAAAATGCAGAAAATGAGAGCATTCTGGCAAAAAGATGTGATGGAGCTTAAGCACAGCCCAGGGTAGTGATCTGAAGACACTTCTGCCAGCAGGGGCACTTCTGGCAGCTGTCCACCCGCTTGCTTCCCACACCTCCTCCCAGTGGCCTTCCTGAGATCTTGTAAGACCAGAGAGCCCTAAATTCTCAGCTCACCTGCTACAAGGGCCACAGCCTTCCACCCCTATGCCTGAACCAGCATTCTATGCCCCAGTATTTAATAGGGAAAATCCAGTTACCTCATGTAGGGAGCTTTCACAGATTTTTCCCAAAATGTGTCCTTCACTTCAAAGACTCTTAACTCTCATTTGTTCTGTACATTAGCACTACCAGCCTTTAAATCTTTTAAGTCTTCTGATCCTGCTCTGGGGACCTCTCCTGCCACTTTAACATTCATGGGGTCACGCTCACCTCTTGCCTTTAAACACTTCATGGCAAAGACTGAGCATGTGGACCAGTTCTAAAAAGAGCTGGCTGATTGACTTCGATTGCTAAAGAGATCAGGGTGGTGCCTTCCTGGCAAGCATGAGGTCCTGAGTTTGATTCCTGGTCCAAAAAAAATAAAAATAAAAATAAAGAGATCAGGGCAACACAACTAATCTCACTCTGAGTGCAGATCTCTTAAATGAAAGAAAATCTCTCTCATAGATAATATCATTCTGTCTGATAAGTTCCCTTGCAAATAAATGAATATAATGAGTACATTTCTGTTCATTCCACTCCAAAATTGACCAACAAAAGGCAAATGATCAAGCCTATACAAATAACATATGGTCAAGGAAATTCATTCAAAATATATTAATTTTTGCCAGGCGTAGTGGCACACACGTGTAATCTCAGCACTTAGGAGGCTGAAGCAAGAGAATCATTGTGAGTTCGAGACCAGCCTGGGGTACAAAGTGAGCTCAAAGCCAGCATGAGCTGCATAGCAGTACCCTGTCCCAAAAAGAACAAAACAAAAAAATTAATTTTAAGTGTGTGAGTGTGTGTGTTGCTGGGGATCAAACCCAGGATCTTGCACGTGAAAGACAAGTGCTTCACCACTGAGCTACAGCCCAGCCCCAAAACGTATTACTTAGCTAATTCCTCCAACAGATAATAAGGGAAAAGATACCCACTACAAAAGCATTCTAAACATAGGACACCCAAGCCAGGCATGGCGATGCATGCCTGTAATCCCAGAACTCAGGGGGCTGAGGCAGGAGAAGCCAGCCTCAGCTACAAAGTGAGTTCAAGGCCAGTCTGAACTACACAGTGAGAACCTGTTTCAAAAAAGACTAAAAATAAAAATAAAGAAATAAACATAGGGTACCTAATAAACTTGTTCAATGAAAGGAGAAAAAGAAGGGAAAAAATATATATATATGTATATATGTATGTGTACAGAAGGATAGCTGGGATAACTTACTACTGATGTCTAATGGTTTATTGAAAGAACAGTTAATGCTTTTTTTTTTTTGACCATTTTGCATGCTTATATCTGTAAATCTGAACAACTAATTTGAAGATAGCAGTATGCAACGTAACAATTGTTGAATTTCTATCATCTTGTTTGGTGTAACTCTGTATCATTTATAATTTTTTTTACTCTCTTTGATGGTTTGATCGAACTTGCATTCTTCCATCTGGTAATCTGGCCAACTTCAATGAAGATAAAAAATATGTAATATAACAACCACTGTTAATCCCTATCATTTTGTTCTGAAACCCTGTATCATTCTTATTGCTTTGCTTTGCTTTGTTTTTGTCTATGTTGTTGGCATTTTGCTATTTTTTTTTTAATTCTCTTTAAAATAAAAAAAAATTCTGTTCAATGCATGGACAGTAAATCCATGTTTGATGCTGCCTCCTCTGAGGAGGACGCTCCACTCACTATGCACTGCTGGTTTGTTTCCTCACTGCCACTTGGCCACTGACCGGGAGGGACACGGTAAGACCTGCTGGCAGTAATGTGCCCAGGGAACAGAGCGGACAGCAGAGAAACGTCCACTTAATACAACCTGACAAGCATCCAGGATACATTTTTACAAAACAGGTTGAAGATGACTAATTTGACAGCCTCATCCCACCACCTGTGGACACAAACAGGCCATGACCAACCAAAGCTCCCCGGCGGCCTTCCTCCTCCTGGGCTTCTCTGAACATCCAGAGCTAGAAAAGACTCTCTTCGTGGTTGTCTTGACTTCTTACTTGCTGACCTTGGTGGGCAACACGCTCATCATCCTGCTGTCCGTGCAGGACCCCAGGCTCCACTCTCCAATGTACTTTTTCCTCTCCAACCTCTCATTCTTAGACCTCTGCTTCACAACAAGCTGTGTCCCCCAGATGCTTGTCAACCTCTGGGGCACCGAGAAGACCATCAGCTCCCTGGGCTGCTCTGTCCAGCTCTTCACCTTCCTGTCCCTGGGGACCACTGAGTGCGTCCTCCTGACAGTGATGGCCTTGGACCGCTACGTGGCGGTCTGTCAACCCCTCCACTATGCCACTGTCGTCCACCCCCGCCTGTGCTGGAAAATGGCAGCTGTGGCCTGGGTTATGGGTCTCATCCAATCTATAGTCCAGACACCGCCCACCCTCCACCTACCCTTCTGTCCCCACAGGCAGATAGATGACTTCTTATGTGAAGTCCCATCCCTAATTCGACTGTCCTGTGGGGACACCACCTACAATGAAATTCAGTTAGCTGTGTCCAGTGTCATCTTTGTGGTTGTTCCTCTCAGCCTCATTCTCATCTCTTATGGTGCCATTGCCCGGGCAGTGCTGAAGATTCACTCTGCTGAAGCATGGAGAAAGGCTTTAGCAACGTGCTCCTCGCATCTCACTGTGGTCACCCTCTTCTACAGCTCAGTCATTGCCGTCTACCTCCAGCCCAGAAACCCCTACGCCCAAGAGAGGGGCAAGTTCTTTGGTCTCTTCTATGCAGTGGGCACTCCTGTTCTTAACCCTCTCATATACACCTTGAGAAACAAGGAGGTAAAGAGGGCACTGAGGAGGATGCTGGGGAAAGATGGGGAGTCCAGACAAAGCTGAGAGACAGCTGTTTCACGTGCTTTAAAACTGAGAAGAGTCAGGCACGGTGGCATCAGTAACTCCAGCACTGGAGAGGCTGAGGCAGGAGGACCACTGCGAGCTGGAGGCCAACCTCGGCTATACAGTGAGTTCAAGGTCAGCCTGTACTTCAAATAGAGACCCTGTCTCAAGAAAAGAAGAGATTCTCTGTGTTTTTATCAAGAAATGTGAGTTATGCATCCATCAGGCCTTGGCAATGGATAGCTAGGGTGGAGGTGGAAGAGACAGACTGAAAATATACTAAAGGGAGGTAAGTGTCTCTATACGAAACACAACCATGAATTAAATTTAATATTCTCTTATTTTGGGCAGGCGTGGGGGCACTCAGGAAGCTGAGGTAAGAGGGTCACTGTGAGCTCAAGGCCAGCCTGGGCTACAAAGTGAGTTTTAAGGCCAGTCTGAACTGCATAGTGAAACCCTGTCTCAAAAAGACAAACTCTTAGATTCACAATACTTTCTTTTATCCTAACAATCTTTAAGTCTCACAATCATGTTCCTATCACATCTATTTCTAATTATCCTTCCTTATCTATTTCCTCACCTCTAATTCTGATTCCTATTTGTTTTCTTCAGTTTTTCCCTCTTATGTCTGGTTTTCATTCTCATTCTGCTTTACCCCTCAAACAGCAGCACTGACAAGGGAAGCTGACGCCTGCACAAGGGCAGATCACCCAGCACACGATGTGAGAAGATCCCATGCCCTGCGCTCCGGTAAAGCAACTCTCAAATACACGCTCTTCCTTCCCCACCCGCAATCAAGTATCCCAGTGTCCGCAGGCCTAAAGTCGGAACTGAGCTTTAGGGGAAAACCTTAAATTCAGTCTTAGTATTTCTTCTTTCACAACACCCACAACCAACTTACAGGGAAACATCTTACCATTTATGGTGGCTGGAGATTTGCAGTGGGGGTTTTGCTAACATCTACTGCCCCAATACAGTATTGCACGTTAACACCCCAAACACTTGCGTAAGACCTCTCTCTCTGGCGTCATCAGGGTAAACTGGACTCTGCTCAGAGATAATTACTGCTGTTATAAATTATAGTAACTATGACATTCTAGGTACCATTTGAAGTAATTTACACATTTTGATGCATTTAATCCTCGTTAACAACACTATGAAGCAGAACATGTTACACTTTTTCAGAAGCAGAAACTAAGAAAGGCACCGAGTTCCAGCACTGTCCTGCATTTTAAATGTCCAAGCCAGGATCTGAGCCTTGAAGGACTGGCCCCAAACCCTACTTGTACTTTTGGTACAAATTATACACTCCTAGCCCAGGTGAGAACCCTCAACTTCTGAAAACAAGGTTGAGGAAAACTGCTCCAATCTAGAAACACAACTGCCATGGCCACTCATTCACATGAAGGAGTTTTGCAACCCTGGGTACGTTTTTCAACTGCTTCAAATCATCCCATGGAAACAACAGAACAAAAATATCTTTGCAAGAACTTGTGTTACAACTCTGTGTATGTGTTCCTGGCTTAGTTCCTCAACTAGACTTCAGGTTCCCAGAAAGCAAGGCCTAGACCTTTGCAGAAAATTGTCACCCAGTTCTATGAATGAATGAGTGAAAGAATGAGTGAGTGAGTGAAAGAATAAATGAATGAGTGAAAGAATGACTCTTATTCCCTGAAGAACATGTAAATGGTACTGGAGTCCTAACGTGCTCTCTCCTAGCTTTTCCATGGCAACAGCAACAATGCCGAATTTTCCTTAGATCCACGCCCAAGAAAACAAAATCCTAGTTTTATTTCTAATCCCAACATAAAGGGGCTTTGACTGAACACTCAGCCGAGTATCAGCCCAGAAGAGCAGCACTGACTCTATCTTGGTCCTGATCTTTGCTCCAGTCGTCCATGTACTACTGTAACCGTCTCCTCAGCCTCAGCATTTGATGACCAAATCTCAGTGGAGGCTCCCCTCCTACATTTACTAACCCCAGTCTGTCCGCAAGCCACACAAATGTTAACTCCGCCTGTCAAGTCTCGTATGCAGTGCTTCCCATGACCACCCGTGCCCTCTTCCTCAGCAGCACTGGTGTCTCTGCTCCGTCTCTCAGCCCCTATGCCTACAGGGCCCAGTGTTCACAGAGTGAAAGTGTTTCCAGACGGGGAAGTACAACAGAGGGCTGCATGAAGCAATTTAAAGGAGTCTGCTCTAATGAAAACTGCTGTTGGAATAATAGTTTAACACAGGCTTCAGACTAACGTCTCTTACTCCAAATTTATTCAGTCTCCATGTGAACAATTATCGAGCACATACTGTAAGAGAAAATTCCTAAGTCTATTCAGTCACAACCCTCCAACTGTTCAAAGAGAAAGATGGTCAAAGACATACAGTATTCCCAGCATACATGAAACTACACAGAGGAGCAGATAAAAGATCAAAAAATATAGAATAAAAGAATAGGCTGGGCGTGGTGATGCACACCTGTAATACTAGCACCTGGGAGGCTGAGGCAGGACTGCTGAAGTTTGAGGCCAGCCTTAACTATGTAGCAAGACCCTGTCTCAAAAAAAAAAAAAAAAAAGAATTAAGTATGAGTGTCTGGAATATGGGGGAGGAGAGTCAGAGAATTCTTCCTAGACATATGAACCATGACAAAGCAAACAAAATTAATCTGAAATAGTTGCTGATTTACTGTGACAAAAGGGCTAAAGGTAGGACTGTGCATGCTGTGAATTAAGACAGAAGTGTGAGGAAAGTTTTATCAGCAAGTCGAAAGACTGAGGAAAAAAGTATAGATTACTTTAGAAAGATATGGAAGTCACTGAACTATATACAACTCAGAAAAAGGGATGTTTATAGATGTTTCGAGTCCGCAGGATTTAGATCTTGTAAACACTAGCACTTACCCACCTAACACAACGCGAGTCGGAAGCACCAAAGAGGTGTTATTCAAGAACCTCGTCCCAGACACAGGCACACAGCAGTAACACCAACCGCTGTGAAGGCTCACGTAGAAGGGTCACAGACTCAAGCTCAGCCTAGGCAACTTACCAAAACCTTGCCTCAAAATTAAAAACTAAAATCTAAAAGTCTAGAGATGTAGCTCAGAGGTGAAGCACTTGCTTAACAGGTACAACGCCCTGGACTCAAACCCCAGTACTGTGACGGGCATGGTGGCGCACACCTGTAATCCCAGCACTCGGGAGGCTGAGGCAGGAGCATCAGTGTGAGTTTGAGACCAGCCTGGGCTACAAAGTGAGCTCAAGGCCAGCCTGAACTGCACAGTGAGACCTTGTCTCAAAAAGACAAAAAAAAACCCAAAAAACCCAGTACTGCAAAATAAAAGATCCATATAGTGGTGCACACCTGTAGTCCCAGCACTAGGAGGACAAGGCAGAAGGATGCTAAGTTTGGGCCCTGGGCAACTTGTCAATTTAGCAACTTACCAAGACCCTGTCTTAAAATAAAAAATATAGCCAGGAATACAGCTCAGCAGTACAGCACCTGCCTGGCAAGAGCAAGGTCATGAGTTCAACTCCCAGTGCAAAAAAAAAAAATATATATATATATATATATATATATATACATACACACACACACACACACACATATATATATAAAGAGCTGGAATGTAGTTGAGCGTGAAGGCCTTGGTTCAATCCCCGGGACTGTGGATAATAATACAATAAACAACCTCAGAGTTTGAGTTGCTTATCCAAGGCTGGTTACCAGTTCACTTCTCAAAGGCTTACTAAATCATAAAAAGATATTAACAGAGGGCATAGCTCCTGATGTATCCCTCCAGCATACCTTCCTGCTTTCCCCTGTGCAGAATTTGATATTCCTTAAAGGATAATAGAAATGTGTGTCTTTACTATATGGATTACTTGGATCTAATGGACTATAGAATATTCTTAAAACAGGACACAAGTTGTCCTTTCATAAATGAAATGCACATTTGTAAAAATATTTCTTTTCAGACACCTCGTATCTCACCAAGTCACTAACTTGCTTGGGCTAGGCTCAAACTTGAAATCCTCCTGCCTCAGCCTCCCAGAGTGCTGGGATTACAGACATCCACCACCACACCAAGCTAAAGGTATAATTTTTATCAACAGAAAAGGCATCAGCATAAAGCTATGTAACAAACTTTGCTAACAGATTTCACAATGCTTTTCCTGGTCACCATCCCCAGCTGCCACTCTACCCAACCACCTCGAAACCCAAAATCCCTTCTTTGTGTAGCTCACAATGGTTGAAAGACGAAATTGCAGCTGGTGGTACAGATCAGTGGTACAACACTTGCCTAGCATGCTCAAGGCCTGCAATTCAATCCTAGTACCACTAGAAAAAGAGGTAAGGAAGAGGAACCGCCCCTCTGGATTACTCATCCTACACCCATGTGCATGTACATGAAGCATGTGTTATGACCTGCATCCAGATTCCTCTCAAAGACTCACACAGTCACAGGTGGGGCTTTCTCAGAGGTGGCTAAATCTAGAGCGTGTGATGCTGGTATTGATTCACACTGCAATGCTGGGCTCAAGGGCACTAGGATTAAAGGTGTGAGTGTTGCCTGCCCAGTAGCCTGGACAGGATAGGAGTCAGAAAGAGCTGTGGCCATGCCTTGTGACCTGTCTGCCGTGCCACCCTGCCTGACAGCCAGCTGATTATGGACTGAAACCTTTACAAACCGTGAGCTAAGTAACCCTTTCCTCCTTTAACTTTGGGTGTCGGGTATTTTGTCTCAGCAATGAGAAAAGTAAGAATGTTATTAAACTTACCTGTTTTTACGTTACTCTGTCTTAAACCAGTTTAATTTACAGCGCCTTGGCTGGAGAACGTAAGCTAGGTGGAGGAAAACATTTCCCTCTCAGCTGCCCCTTGACACACACTTGAAGATGCACCTGCATGCTACACAAATGCCCCTCACTTCGCCGTACCAGTCCCCAGCAGTGCCAGCTCACACAGGTTGCGCCCATGCCCACGGCACAGCCCTCCTCTTGCAGGAGTCTCTGGTGTGCTTCCTTGCCCCAAGGACCACACCACTGGACTCCATGATGGCTGGTTAAGCAGCTGACATCACTCTCTTGGGGGCAGATGTCAAGTGACATGGTGCCCATGTTTTTCCTAAGTTAATGGATCATGAAGAGCAAAGTAACAAAATTCCCTGCTCCAAAAGCCTGAGTGAATAAGCACGTTCCTGTCCCAAGTGGCCTAAAATCAACAAAAACAGTGAAAAGAGCTCCAACAGGCAGAACCATCTTCAACACAGGAGGCAGAAAAGTCTAGTTGTGGGATAGCAGTTGACCCTGAAGCTACCCAAGAAATCAAGGGTCTGGTAAAAAGGTCCAATGCCAGCAGACAAGAGTGGGGATGATCAAGGGAGAAGAGCAAATACTAGCTTTGGCGTAGATGAATCATTTTTCCAAGGAAGCCTGCAACAAATCTATTCTATTGCAATTTAAAAAAAAAAAAAAATCTATCCTATTCGCAGTGTGACAGTGTTTCTACCCCCGGAATCTGGCATATCCTGTAACTACCTAGTCCCATCAAATACAGCAGAAATGATCTGTGTTGGTTTTGGGGGTTATTTTTGCAAGGGGAACAATATAATACAAGACATATTTTATAAGATTATTTATAATAGTCACCCAACAAAAGATATACAAGAGAGTGCAGGAAATCTGTCCACACACTAAGACCAAGGAATCCAGCTGAGGGCCTGGATCCCACAGAAATGTCCTGCATAAGTCCAGCTGAGGACCTACAGCTCATAACAATGTCTCCCACAAATCCAACCAACTGGAGGCACAGAGCCCATGACAACATCTCATGCAGGCCTGCTTCACAGATCTGTACTGGGAAGGCCCAAAGGTCAGTGGTGGAATCTAGGAAGTCTGTGACAGCAGGATGAAGGATCTGTGCTAGCAGGCTGAGGGATCTGCACTGGAGCCAGGAAGTGATGCTCAGAAGAACCCCCGAAAGGTACCACAGCCATCTTCAGCAACAGTGAGGTCCTGAGCTCCTCCAATGATCAAGATGGCCGAGTTCCCATCAGGGAAGCCAATGCAGCAAGCTTCTCCAGAAGACCAGCAGTGCACTATCTTCCCCTCCAGAGCCGGGAAGCAATGCCCAAAGTGAGGACCAGAGCTCCTCCAAAGTAAACCAAAGCCATTCTCAGTGCCAACAAGATCCTGAGCTCCTCGCAGGATGAAAATAGCCAAGTTTATCAGGAAAGCCAGCATGAGGTGCTTCTCCAAAAGAACCAACAGCTCCTTACAGCTTCTACCAGCTCCAACAGCCTTCTTCTCCTTCTCCAGCTCTGCCTCTTATGCTGCTGACAACAATCCCCAGGTGGGCCTCCCACACCCAGCACCACGCTTACTCAGTTCAGCTGGGGGTTGTAAGTTGACCACCAGTTGTCAATCCACTACAGATACCATGTGACTTCCAAGGTATCGTCAGAAAAAAGATCCCTAGCTGACACCCCAGTGCTCACTCTGTCTCCCTCCTTCTCCCTCCCTCCCCTTCTCTTCTTGTTTTTTTGGGACAGGGTCTTACTATGCAGTTCAGGCTGGCCTTGAGCTCACTCTGTAACCCAGGCTGGTCTCAAACTCGCAACGATCCTCCTGCCTCAGCCTCCCAAGTGCTGGGATTACAGGCATGCGCCACGACGCCCGGCTCCCTCTCCCCACCCCCAACTCACTTTGGGATCCAGTTACATTATGAAGCATTGCAAGCCACATGGAAAGGTAATGTGTAGGGGATCCAGCCCACAGGTCTCAGCTGAAGTCTCAGCTGGGCCATTATCCACCTTTGGATACTAAGAGAAAGACTCTTCACGTGACTCTAGCACCCAGCCTTTAAATCTTCCAGCAGTAATGGAGCAAGGGAAATGCTCCCCACCGTAGCATGTCTAAATTCCTGACCCACAGAAACCATACAAGCTAACAGGTACAGCAGTAACTGATAATAGTGTACGCTTTTCGCAGCTGGCTCTACTCCTTGAGATTCTTCCTCCCCTGAGCTGCAGTCTCCGTGCCAGGTGATGAGCGCACTAACTTCCCCACCAAGTCCTGAACACAGAGACCAGCAGAACGTCTAGATCCCTGGTTCCTCGGTGGTCTTGTCTGCTCATCTGCTTACTGGTCACAATCAACCTATCTGGAACATACACAGCCCATGAAGGCCGTCTTGCCTGCCGCTCTGCCCCAGTGTCTCCCGCAGTAATGTGCCTCACCAACACTTGACAGATTGCAAGGAGAGCAGAAGTCATGCAGCAGTAAATGCTCACCCAGTGCTCTCTGCATGTGACTGGGACTAGGGCGGGGGTGGGGCACAGGCCAACACAGAGGGGGGCACTCCGGCCTGGCAGGCAGTCACGAGCAGGACACCCCAGTCTAAAGCAGATCTGAGGCCTGAGGAGAGTCCTACCCCGAGGGGGCACTGGTGAGGTGAGGTGGGGCCCACCTCACGGTGCCACAAGAACAGCTCTTCCCTGCACTGCCCAGCAGCAGCCTCACCACCCAGCAACCCATGCCCTCCCTCCTGCCCTTTGTACCAAGCATCTTGGCCAGCCCTACCATTTGCCCCAACCCTTACTCTCCTGCTCACACACAGGATCTGGCGCATTTTGGCCACAGAACTTCCGGCCCTTTACTTGTAATTTACATCCCACTTAATTTCAGCACAAGTCTGAGGGGTAATTTGGGTCTTTTAGGTTCTATCCAGGACCGGACATAGCTCCTGCTGCTGCTTCTGAAGCCAACTGTTCACTTCTCACACACAGGCTTCTCTACCTCTAAGAATATTCCACTACGAGAGGGGAAACCCAAATTAAGCACATAATCATAGTAGAAGGCTTTGCAAATACTAGGCTAAGATTTAACCTGCCCACACACAGGACAATAAAGTGATAGGGCCCATCCCTGAAGCTTTCATGCAAAAAAAAAAAAGAATCACTGAAAACTCAGTACCAAAGTGAGCTTCAAAAAAGCTATCACCAGTGGCTGGGGATATAGCTCAATGGCACAAGTGCCTGCCTGGCAAGTGCAAGGTCGTGAGTTTGATTCGCAGTACAGAGGGAAAAAAAAAAAAAAAGCACATCACCAAAAGAACACAAAAAAGAATAAAGTCCAAAGTCCAGGCAAGTTGTTTTCTTCCTCAGCTACTCTTTTTTTTTAAACAAAAGGGAAACATCAAATTTAATTTAAAGAAAAAAACACTAGACGTCTGCAAGAACGAAAGAGCAAACCAACTCCTGAAAAACAGTTCAGCACCTTGATGAACATGTATGGTGGAAAGCTGAGAGAAAAATAAAAATGCTACTTAGCTTAAAATGGTGTAAGGATTTTGCAAGTCAACTCATTTCACGGGTGAATAAATCGCCTGGCTATTTCTCACTATCTAATGTGTGCAGCCTCGACCTCTGAATGTCTGGTGCAGTTAAACAGCCCAATGTTGCCACACAGGACAAATCCTCTGTTTCAGCCAACTCTTTGCGGAGGGGCAACTAGCACAACACCGTCCCCCTGGACAAACAGCGTCGGGATATTAAGTTTCATCGATTTGTATATATTTGTATGTCTCTTCATCAATTCCTATAGCGGTCACAGTTTCTTCCATGTCTCCCAATATCATGTTTTAATGCTGATCATAAGCGTGTAATCTGCCTCGCAGCTCTGTCATTGCTCACTTCCACATAGACTCACTCGTCCAGGCTGAGTCTGATGAGATCCAGCGGCTCCTCCACGGTATTGGTGGTTTGTGGCTGGTCCACGTCGTCGGACATCTTTCAAACCCTCCCTCAGCTATTCAAAACTCTTATTTGGACTGTAAATTCTTCCCAAGATGCTCAGAGTTCCTTAGGCAAATATTTGTACAGTTGGAAGCACTTGGGGGCCATCTCATCCAAAACCTTCCAGCAGTCATCATTTCTGTTGTTCTTACTTCCTGGAAAGGAGCCTGCACATCTGTTCAGCCACCTGCTCGCGACTTCCAGTGCTGCCTGCTGCTGTGGAGAACCCGTCACACACAGTGACAGAGGCTAACAGCTACCCAGCATGCACCAGGACAGCACAGCGCAGGCACCTGAATGCACCACTTAGTCCTCGCATCCACTTTTTGAAGGAACGTGTCGTTAGGGTTATGATTTATATTCTTATTAGTTTTTTTTTTTTTCCGGTACCGGGAACCGAACTCACAACCTTGCGCTTGCCAGGCAGGCGCTGTGCCGCTGAGCTAAATCCCCAGTCCCTTTTTTTTTTTTTTATGATTTGTATTCTTTATTCTTCATAAATAAGGACATGAAGAACACTAAGAGATTAAGAAAATTTCTGCATGTAGTCAGATCTGACACCTTGGCCTCTGACTTCAGAGCCCACACTTTTAACCACTTAGGTCATCACTCATTCAGCCTTAGTTATGTCCTGGTTTGCCCTGCTAAGCCCTTAATGGATCCATAAAACACTTATTTCCACCCCTTCCCTTCAAAATCTTTCGGTTAACCTGGAGCCCTCCGAGCCTCCCTCCTTGGACTAGAGCCCACCGTTCACAGAACAGAGGATAAGGTGCCGAACCACACGTCTACTGGTTTATTGCGATCTGGGGAGATCCTTCCTCAAGAGACACCAGTGTGAAAGGGACACCACCCATTGCCCCGTTAGTCCATCTGTTCCCCCTAATGGTCTGAGGTGCCTCTGTCTGGTCAGGATTCTCACCATCTATCCACTGGAAGCAGCTCTCCAAACCTGCCCCGTCTTTACCCTCAGCTGCCAATCACACACACACAATGAAAGGAAGCGGTCTTGGGAGAGAAGACGACTGTGAGTGTAGGCTGAGGGCAATACGATGAGTACAAAGGACAGAGCAGGAGCAGACACTGAGCACGAGGAGGAGAGTGTGGGCGCCCCAGCAAAGCGGCGAAGTGCTAACAGTGCACAGGGTGACTGCACAGAGCTCTGCTGGAAGAATACAATGATGAAAGGTGAAAGGAAGAGCGTAGGCGAACGTGGATGTGTGCAGGCGGGGAAGACACAGCTCACGAGCCACACCCAAGGGTGGACCCATGACCACGAGAGGGACAAAGCTGGTACAGGGTGCACGGGGAGCACACGTAACCGAACGAGAAAGCTCATGGGAAGGACAGGAATGCACGGAAGGACACATGTGCACTGGGGAGAATGGGCACACAGAGTAACACACGGTGAGCCTTGGTGAGGAGAATGAGCCCTCAGGAAAAAAAGTAAGGACAACAAATGGGAATGTGCGGAAGAAACAGTGGAACAGGAGGAGGTTACGAGGGTGAGAGACACGGGGAAAAGCACTTGTGTGGAGACTCCAGCTGACGGGAGGCCGAGGGACTAGGGGCTGCTGAGCTAATAAGAGCAGCAAGTTGTAGGAGGGAGAGAAAGGACCAGGCTGCCAAAGAGCCATGCGTGACAAGCTCTGGGCGATATACAAACTAAATTATGAAGTAATGACACAAGATTGTATGAATGAATGAGACAGAAAAAGGTCCACTTCTCAGAGTACTGGAAACCCGCACAACCCCAGCGCTCAGCAGGGACAGGTATTTAAGACATGGGATCAGTCTGGGGACAGAGATACCCACCTCCTCCCCAGCCTCCCACCCTCTCCTTGCTCCCTTCCCACCCCACCAGCTGTCCTGACACCCCTCACTTGTACAGCAAGTGGACTCGACTCCCATCACAGCTAAGCCGGTCGGGGGGTTCAGGGGGTCCCCTGGGTAGACCCCCAGAAGGGTCTGGGGGTGTTGGGGGGTGGCGCCGGGAGCGCAGCTGCTGCCGAGACTGGAGCTGATGGCGCAGTTCGGAGACCCGCTCCTCTTTCTGGAGAAGAAACACAGGCAGGAGAGCAGCAGAAGGGGAGGTTGTGAGGGGTGGGAAGGAGGAGGGGCGGGGAGGGGCAAATCAGCAGAAACCAAGAGGAAGAATCAAAACAAAAACAAGGAAAATCAGAACACAACGGGGCACCAAAAGAAGTCAGGGAGTGAGAGAGGTTTCAAAGAAAAGGAGAAAATGAAGGAGGAGAAAAGTCAGTGCACAAAGGTTCCAATAAATCACAGAGCGTCCCCATCTGACCCTGTACCTGCCCCAGCTGCTGTGTGGGGCAGCATGGACGCTGTGGGCACTGCCCAGCCCCCTCCTGTGGGCACACCTGGCATCGGGCCGCTGTGAATGCTGGCTACTAAGGCCTCACAGCAGCCTCCGAACTGCCACAGCCAATGGCGACCCTCCTGCTCGCAGAGCATGGCGTCGACAGTACACTTCCCACTCCACAGCCGCCTCCACACGATCAGGCCGACCCAGAACTCACTCAAGGCACAGCCTCGCTCAAATCTTTCCCCGGCCCTACCCTGCTGCACTAACTCCCTTGCAGGGTTTGTCCTAAGGCTCTCCCTTCGCAAATCACAAATACCTGCACTTAGTCCAGGGCTCTATCTCAGATAACCCAGCCCCAAAACACAGGCCTCCTGGACCCTGCCGTCACCACACCTCAGCAATGATCTTCTCCAGTTCGCGGTTCTCCTTCTCCAAGAGCCGGGACTTCTCCTCCTCGTTGTTGTTGGTGGACGACCCTGTCTTCATGGTGTCCTGGGCCTCCGACTGCCATTCGCCGCGGGTGACCAGCCTGCGCATCTGGGGACAACGTGTGCTCAGAAACGGAAGAACGGGCTACGACTGATCAGCCGACAGAGGGTGAAGGTGGAAGGAGTGAACAGGGACAAGCAGGGCCTCCAGCAAGGCAGGAGTGGAAGGAAGGTGCAGTGAAGAGGCAGCAAGCACGAGTCCTGGCGTGAAGGGACGTGACAGCAGAGTGGGGGGAGGAAGGCCAGAAAATTACCTTGGGCACAAAGAGCACAACCAGAGTAATATAGGAGGAGAACACGATGGCCAGGGAGGCAAAGGCAAAGGCCGCGTCCTGCTGGCTGCTCAGGATCATGGTGACAGGGGCGGTGATGAGGCACAGGACCTGGACACAGACAGCATTTGGGGAGACTCAGACCCACTGGCTCAGACAGAATCTGGGGTCTCCTTCTCCTGTGACAGAGCCTGTAAGGACAGGGTTTTGGGGAACTTGCCACGAGCAGATTCCTCCTCCCCTCTCGACAGAGAAAAATCCCAGACCATCCCAAACCAGTTCTCCATTTTCCCCTCGGGACAGGAACCCCTAGAACCTCTACACATACACACACCACACACACACACACACAAAGTACAGTCAGTCCCTAGGGAATATCTGGGAGAAAATCTCCATGCAGATTCCATCCGATGAACCACAGCCAAGCAATTTTACAACTGTGTCTGTTTCCTCACCTGTAAGATGGGGATATTAGTATCTCCTTCACTGGGCAGTTGCAAGGAAATTAATGATTAGGATTTTTATAAAGTGCTTTATAAGTCAAACATTAAACTTTTTAAGGCTTCCAAGCCACTGACTCCAGATCTAGTGTGCAACTCTTCCCAGCACACCAGGCCTGGATTGCTCTTTGGCCTACAGGATCAATGCCTGGAGAACAGGGAGCTCACCGCCACATTGTAGATGGCCATGCCCACTGCCCTGTGGTCGTTGATCTTCTCAGTAGAAACACTTTTGGTCTCATAAGCAAGGAAGATTCCCAGCAGCAGCAGCAAGCCCTTATAACCATAGAAAATACCTGGAGAGGCAGGAAAGGGTCACTTGGGCATCCAGTGCTTCCCCTCCTCTCAGTCCTCTGCCTTTTACTTACTGCTCCTCCTGCTTGTCGCTCCACACAGCATGGGAGCCTTCCTCTCCCACCCAGCCCCTCCGACCTAGTGCACCCTTCCCTGTGACCCAACCCTGGCGTCCATCCAACTGGCCTAGACCTGATCCGTCCTGCCGGGATGAAGCCCTGTGTCACACAGGAAGATGGTGGTCCTCGGGTAGCTGTCAGTCAGGTAAGAGCCAGTGTAGGCCCCACACACAGTCTCACCTCTTCCCCTCTAGGCAGGATGGGTATCAGGCTGACAGGTTTGCCATTTGAAGTTTTCTATCAGAGCAATGTCAACAGGGTCAGAGGGAGCCACAAAGACCAACCCTCCTCCATTCTCAGTCACAGCAGTGCAATGACAAAGACAGGGACACTCAAACTGGGTTGACAAGCTCGCTTCGGTCTCTCTCCAAAGCACTTCCAGACCTACTGTTCTGCTGGGGAGGTGGCTCAGAAGCACTGTGCTGGCCTAGCATTCTCCAGAGCTACTGTTCTTTCCAATCCCCCTCCCCCCACATCCCACACACCAAGCCATGTATTCATCTTCTTGGAGCTACAATGCTCCAGCTGGGGCAGAATAGAGACATCGATGTCTTCCTTTGGCTCCTCCTTGGCAAAAGTCTAAAGAAGAAACAGGACCACAGAAAGATGATTTCCATCCTCCCGTCCTCCCCAGCTCTGCTCCACCTCTGACCCCAACCCTGCCTGCTCTTTCTTAAGAGATCATCAATACTGATGCCAAGTTCTGTTCCTCTGGCCCTGAGAATATTTCCCTGAACTCAATAGAAGTGCTTGTTCCCCATTTTCCCTGATGCCTGGAACTTCTACACATCCTGCCCTGATCTCCACTTCAATTCTTCCAATGAATCTAGAGGCTCTGGTGGGAATTCTTCTAGGAAGGAGAGGAAGAGCCACTATTAGGCAGAAGGCTAGAAGCACTATCCCAACGAGCTGCTTTGTCCCTCAAGACCACGCGCAGCCCTGGGGAGCCCAACAGCCAGTGAACCTTGCTCAGCCTCTTGACAGCAGCACCTCCTCTCAAGCAGTACCTCGATGGTCCGGTGCAGGGGGTCCACAATCTGCCAGATGGCCAGAGTAAGCACATCCAAGCCTACCAGCAGCCCCACTGTGGAATACAGCTTCCAGGGCTCCAGGGTCTGAGCAAACATTCAGAGCAGGCTGGTCAGAGGGAAATCCTCTAAGCCCAAGGAACCAAGGAGCACGGGCTAGGGACTGCAGACTGCTCACCTTCCTCCACTCCTTCTTCTCTTCCTTCTTTGTGAAGACCGTGTGGACCCACCAGATCTTGGTGAACATGGAGCCATAGCCCAGACTAAAGCCCAGGCCCAGGAGCCAGAGGCGGGCCTGGAAGCGGAGAGGGGCATGGGCAGAACAGGGCAGGCAGAAAGTGAGCTGTGATGAGGATAGATAGGGTTGCAGGAGGGAGTGTGAGCAGGAAGCAGATGACGAGGCAGACAGGACACAGCCAGTAGGGATAAAATATATGCCAAGGACGGGCAGGGCAAGAGATAGTCTCCCCACATCACTAATTCCTCCCAGCACCTAGCTGCTAGCAACCAGCGTCATCTTACTAAAAACCTCCTGACCACTCCCTAATGCCTATGGGTTATGGCCCGAACACCTCCCGATGTGACACAGACTCCACATGCTCGACCACCCCCCGCTGTCTGAGCTCCTCTCCCAGGTGCTTAACTACCCTACACTCCAACCATGCTGAACCACCCTTCCTTAGCTATTCCCTCCAGTCTTTGCAAGCTACATTGTGTCCCTCTGCTCCAGAGTAATCTTTCCTCTGTTTCTCCAGCTAGGAAATTCATGGGCATCCTTTGATATGCGAACACCATTTCTCTTGTGAGGCCCACTCAACCCCTCCAGCTGTGAGCTGCTTTCCTTCTTCCCTCCCCTAGCACTTCCTGCAAATCGCTACTGACACCCCTCCTGTTGCACCGAGGCTAGCTGTCTGCTGCTGCAGCTGCACTGACCTCACTGCTGAGAACAGATACTGCTCGATGCATGTACACGTGTGCAATGCCATTTGCACAGCACATGATCAAGACAGGAACGGGGACACAAAGAAGGGTACAGGGAAGAGCGGGTGTTGCCTACAGCATCACAGTCAACCACTCAGTGTCACTCACTCACCATTCAAGCCAGACGTTTCCCACAACCCTCTGGATGCCGGCACTCCAAGAGGCTCTTCCCTGTGTGACGGCGCTCCTCACCCACCCCAGACTTCTCTGCTGTCAGCTTAGATTCTCCCTTCACCCTTCCACACCCCAACTCCAGCTCCCACAGGAAGCCCAGGGCCCTGGTCCTCAGCCCCCACAACGCATAGTCACCGCTATGCAGGGGCTCCTTGTGCACCCACCCTTCGGCTCCAGCCCCTCCCTCCTCTTCTCCGTACGTCATGCCCTGGGAATGCGAGGGAACCACAGACTGGACAGTGTCTGGGGTCCCAGAAAGAAGACCCAGAGCCACAGAGAAAGCTGAGGGCTGGCCTCTGGAGGACAGAGTAAGGACGAGCATGAGGGAGAGACGAGAAGGGAAGGCACAGAACCACGGACGGGGGAAAGTACTCCCAAGGGGGCGAGGAAGCCACATTCCAGGAGGTATCTGCCCACATGCTCCTCACCTGGCAGACAAAAGGGAACTGGCTCTTCCCGATGTGGTAACCATCCAGCCCAAGGGGAAAGACAGCAGCCAACGCCAGCGAGCAGCCCACGGCAGTCAGATTGTTCAGGTTGGGCTGTGAGTTCTGGATGTAACTAGGGGAGACGGGGGAGGAGGAGAGGGTAGGAGAGGCAGAGAGAAGGTTACCCCTCTTCTTCAGGAAGCTCAGCTCCCTAAATGCCATGCATGGCAAGACCCCAACCGCCGGTCCACAGACTGGAGGACACGCTTGGAGCGGGGGCAGGGTCCTGACAGTCAGCTTGGTCATGGGGCTGGAGATAACGCTGACGAGGGCTCTCCAGCACAGAACCCCCGCTGGATACACTGTTATTTGGAGCCCAAGACTCGGCTACCTGGCCCTAAAGGTCTTGGTTTTATTTTATTTGGGGGTTTTTTCCAGTTGGTTGCCTTGCAGCAAGGTTGGGAACTACACCTGGTTTCTGCCCTCGCATTCTCAGTAAGTGCGGACACAGCCCTCGGGGACATGCGGCCTTAGCAGTCGCATAGGTTTTACTCTCGCTGCCTCCAAAGAGCGTGATCGTTACCTTGGAAAGGCAGACAGGACAAGGACCACGTCAGAAAAGAAACTTACCGGACATGGGAGTTGTAGATGTTAAAGGACAGACAGACAACAGCAAGGACAATGCCCAAGCTGGAGAGAACCGAGACGGAGATGAAGAGTTTCTGGGACAGGAAGCGGAAGGTCTTGATGACCAGGGTCTGGTCAGCTGGGGGGGTCCCTCCTGTGAGGCACAGGTGACAGAAAGCAGAGGAGAGAAAGGAAGACAAAGACGCACAGATGGATAGGTGAAAGGGCAAAGGGCAAGGCTGCTGATGGAAGCTCGTTCTTTGGCTAAGGACAGGAGGCCCTGACTGACACCAGGGCCCGAGGGAAATGACAGGAAATGCGATGAGAAAATAGATGCTGAGGGCCTCCAAAGTGTTAGTCTCTCTCTCTTTGGCTCTTTTTCTGTCTCCTTTGCAGAAAAGGAAAATAGGGGAGGAAAAATGGAAATAGTTGAAAAACTTTTGAGGTCTTTTACAAATCAAAAGCTGCAAAAGTGGCTGGGGATACAGCTCAGTGGCACAGCACCTGCCTGGCAAGCATGAGGTCATGAGTTCGATTCCTGGTACAAAAAAAAACCAAAAAGCTACAAAACACAATTATAGAGTGAGAAAGAGCCAAACAGGCCTCAGTGTATCTAGTGTGGCCTCCTAACCTTACACAAAACAAACAAATAGAAACTAATCTGAAATTCTAACCATGGCAGGATGATTTCCCAAATGTGTTTTATAGTTATTATTAAGGGAAGTTCAAATTTGTCAGAGTTCACTAAAAAACCTAATTTCAATTTGCTTAAAGAAAAAAAAGAAAAAAGCTAATTTAGGCCATGCAGCATTTCTAACAGTACAAAGCAAACAAAAAAAAAAAAAAAAAAAAAACAGAACACTGCCCTCAATTCAAAAAAATATATATAGAAAACCCAGCAGTGCTGGAAACAACTGGGCTTCGCTGGGCCGGGCAGACAGGTGCCTTTGGTGGCCGTCACCCACACCCTCCGGCTGCTGACCCTCCATCAACAGATCCTTTGCCACCTCCACCTCTTTCCCCTTTTTTTTCTTTTTCCTTTTTTATTTGTTTTTTTGAGACGAGGTCTCTCTATGCAGTTCAGGCTGGCCTTGAGCTCACTTTGTAGCCCAGGCTGGTCTCGAACTTGCAGTGATCCTCCTGCCTCAGCTTCCTGAGTGCTGGGATTACAGGCATGTGCCACCACACCTGGCTTTTTTTCCCCATCTATTTAGCCCTTCGCACACACCAAGAATAACTGCTTGCTTTCTCTCTTTTAAAGGAACATGGTACTGGGTGTAGTGGTACAATCTGTCATCCCAGCTCTCAGGAGGCTGAGGCAGGATCACCATGAGTTCAAGGCCAGCCTGAACTACACAGCAAGACCCTGTCTCAAAAAAAACAAAGTAAATGAATATTCAATTGGTCACTCATGTATAGCTCTATTTATTTTCTTTAGAAGCCACTTTGAAGATACCAAAGTATAGTACAACAACCACTGATAATAACCTACCACTTTTGTCTGTAGCTCACTATTATTTGTCTATTTGTTTTCCAGGGAAACTATCTTGTAGATAACAATATGTAAAACAACAACCACTGACAATTTCCTACCACTTTGTCTGTAACTAGGTAAGCCCCATTATTATGTTATCCTTCTTTTATTCTTTAAAAAAAAAAAAAAACTGAAAAAAACCACAACCAAATAAATAAATAAATAACATATAGAAGAAAAAAAAACCACAAGTGGTAAACTTTACAATGATAGATTTTGTATTTTCTGTAATTTAAATAACCATTTTCCTGACCAAGAAAGACAGAAGCAGCTCTAGGCTTAAAGCAGCTGGGTAGATGCATCAAGGCACCAGGATATCTGGAAACCCAAATGGAGTTTCCAATCCCTGCCCTCTGCGTCACTCCCAGCTGCCTTAGCAGTGTGCCATTAAAATTAGCACAACACGCACCTCAGCCCTTTCCAGATACACCCGCCTATCTTCAACTCCACCCCGACCCTGTGCCCTGGTACATCTCCCCGCAAGAGCACACACCCCCAGCTTCACTCAAACGCGAGACCATGCTCCTCGATTAGAGGCATGGGAGGGAAGGCAAAGTGGAGAACTCACCAATCCACTTATCTGTTCTGGACCAGGAAAGGGAATCCTTGGTGCTGTCATAGTAGCCGATCTTCTTGTAGCTGCCACCTGACAGGACAGTGACAGCGTGGCCAGGGAGGGCTGACCAGCCACCCTGGGCATCTTCATCCCCCCACAACCGCATCTGATACCATCCCACGGGGCAGCTGAAAGACGCTCGGGAAGACCTGGGGCTGCTTCAGTCAGCATCCTTGCTTGCGAGGCCCCGAGACAACATGCATAAACGGGGTGTCTTACGTAGCTACAGTCTTCCTTGAAGAAGGAGCCGCTCTACGTCTGCCACATCCTCTACTGCCTCACACCTCTCCTGGCAGCACATCCCTCACTCTGATGCTGGCTCAGAAAGCTTGCAACATATTTCTGCTTATTCTTTTGCTCGTGATGGACAGAATCATGGGATCTATTTTCCCAGTGGCTTGCATTTTAATTTTAGCAATTTGTCTCTTGTTGGCTTGGATTCTAATTCCTTGGGTAAGTTACATCTGCCTCTTAAAGGGCCACTAAAAATTCAGCTGCTCTAAGATTTCTGTTCTAAAACTGTCCCATTTAACATCACTTTTCTTTCAGAAGCCAATTCATACCCTTTTTGCCATGGCTGAAGTCCATTCCCTCTTATCCTAGATACAAAGAACAGCTGAAAGGGCTGTGGGAGGTGAGAAAATGGGAAAAAAGAAGCTTTTCACAGGAGGCCAAGAAATGGGTCTTTTGGCCATGCTATAAGAGGCAGAGGGGGTGGGGGAGTGTGAAATGTTAGCTCACAGAAGTTTTGCAAATACATAAATGTGCTAATTTATAAGAAACTACAATCTAGAAAAGTCAAACTACAGCTAAAGTAGGAATCACAGGCTGGGCTTGCCTGTAATCCCAGCACTTGGGAGGCTGAGGCAGGAGGATTACTGCAAGATCAAGGCCAGCCTGGGCTACATAGTGAGTTCAAGGCTAGTGTGAACTACATACAGTATGGAGACCTGTCTCAAAAAAAAAAAATTAGGAATTACAGAGTATACAGGCAAGGAAATTCAAGAGATTCTCTTACAAAATAGCCGGTTTCCTAGTTAAGACTTCTTTGCATCACTTTTTTGTGGGGGAGGAGTAATCAAGAATTGAACCCAGGGGCTTAGCACCAGGCTACATCCTGACTCCTTTATGTATTTACTTTGAGATAGTCTCATTAAAGTGCTAAATTACCCGGGCTGTGAGCTGGGCTCAAACTTGAGATACTCCTGCCTCAGCCTCTCAGAGTGCTGGGATTACAGGCATATGCTACCCATTCCCAGCTTCTTACATCCCTGTTGATACACTGACAGCTCATTAACCCTTCAGCCTGGCCTTTGCAGGGAAATTTCTGAAAATAAAATAGAAGCCACAGAGAAAAGAGAACACTTATTTCTAATTCTCAGGCCCCTTTCAAAGAAGACAACAACCACTGCAAGAGACCCACTCACATCTAAGTTTTTTACTGGTTTCATTTAAAAGTCTGATGAGCATAGTTAAAAAGGAAAGGGCAGAGCTGGGCATGTTGGCTCACACCTGTAATCCCAATACTTGGGAGGCTGAGGCAGGAGGATCGCTGTGAGTTTGAGACTAGCCTGGGCTACAAAGTGAGCCCAAGGCCAGTCTGAACTGCACAGAGAGACCCTGTCTCAAAAAGACAAAAATAAAAAAAAGGAAAGTGCAGGGGAGGAAAACCTTGCCCTCCTCCCAGGCTGGACCCGCCTAGCCCAGCCTTTCCCACCCCCTCCCTCCGCCCCACTTTCTTGCTTACCTTGTAGCTGCTCGATAAGTGTCCAGGCCATCCGGGAGCCGCTGGCATCAAACACCACATGACCCTGAGGGGGACAAGCATGGAGGAAGGTAGAGAGGATAAAAGCTCCAGTGAAAAGAGAACATCGGGGACTCTGAATCCTCATTTCGATGTAACAGCTTCTGAATGAACACTATTTATGGCATCTGCCTGCATATAGGACATACCCCAGATGCCCATACCCTAGATTTCAGGAACATTATTCTTTTGAGAAAAAGATTTCACCCAGGAGATTTGAATGGGAAAGATCCCCAGACAGAGGCAGGAGACCTAGTGTCCAGCTGTGTGCCCTGAGCAAGTTACCAAGCCCCACAGAGCACTAACTTTCTCACTTTAAAAAGAATAAGGGGATTAACTTCCAGGTCATTTCCTCTTTTAAAATCCTCCCATTCTCACCTGACTGCTAAGTACCTAGACTGGTTTGAAGAAGAAATGAGGGGAAAGGTGGAAAGAAATAAAATACACCATGTTATTCTTTGTAGTCTCTTGTGGAATTTTCCGATTTAAGGGTCCCTCCCCTCCCAGTAGGAGAATGATTTTTGCAGAAGGATAACTGAGAAAAACAGAGAACTGGGTGCAGTGATGCACACCTGTAATCCCAGCATTCGGCAGGCTGAGGCAGAAGGATCGCTGTGAGTTTGAGGCCAGCCTTGGCTACAAAGTGAGTACAAGGCCAGCTGGAACTGCAGAGTGAGACCTTGTCCCAAAAAAACGAAAGAAAAGGAAGAAAACAACAGAGAACATTTTCTAGCAGGAGCCTGAGGTGGTTTCTGTTCATGTGAGGACATGGGTACAGTAAAACCGAAGGTGCTACTACTCACAGAGACACCCTCGAAGGACGAGGAGTTCATCGCGCGGTAGATCTGGTCGGTAATGGTCTGGTTGTTGTAGTTGAAGTCCTCCAGGCGCACACCTGAACGGCCACCGCCCCCAGACGTCTTGTTCAAGGCCAATGCCAGCGCCCAGATGGCGTCGTAGGCCAGAGGTGCCTCCTGAAAGCCGCCTGTCTCCTCAGGATGCCTTTTGAGTCGCTTGGTTAGTTTCTCCACAAATTCTTGGGATGTCTGAGTAGGAAAAACAAGAGGGGAAGACTGGCATGTGTGTGGGCACAGCAGGGAGGGGCCGCCACTCCTAGCTCAAATGCTTCCGCTGGAATGGAGGGTCTGTTCCTGCTATCAGGTAGAACACGCACACGTCTGTCTTAGGTGAGAAGCTACTGGACTTGGGCAGGCGTGCGCAGGGGCTGACGGCCCGTGTGTCAGCTGCTGGCTCAGAACTACAAACAGAGAAGTGTGATGAGTAAACACTAGACCAAGAATAGCAGCAAGCAGACACAGGGCGAAGAAAGGGATGTGGCAGAAGACTTGCGATGCTGACGCACTCTCACCCTTCAGACTTTCTGAGGAGCGCTGACCTCGGATCTAACAGCTCCTCCAATTCTGAAAAATCCTAGAAAAGGCGACCACGCGTCCTTCTCACTCTGCTTGTCAACCAGGAAGATCTGTGACTTCAGTTCAGTGACTCTTGGAGTGTTCTCAGAAGACTGGAGACTGTGGATATTCCCTTCACACTCTTGAAGCCCATTGTTCAGTCCCATCCACACCTCCCTCCACATTCAGCCAAAGCGAAAAAGAATGTGGCTCCTTTAGCCCTCATGAGACGGGTCCACGAGCCTACCTGACACGCTACACCTGACAGTAAACTGCCTTCATATCCAGGGGTGAACTTCTTGGTATCTTGGAACTGTCTTCCACACAAAGACAAAATTACATCTTCCTCTCCACACCTCCCGGAAACACGCAAGGAAAAGCTTAACAGCTGCTTCTGGCAAAACTGAAGTATTACACAGGGCACTATACGAACAACTGCTTGGGTTTGGAAGACGTTAACACACACGAATTCTCATGGCATGAATACAAAGATGAAGAATAAGTAGCTTTTTTTCCCGTGCCCGATCACTTTTTCCTTCTATTTAACTTTCTGGAAACAGCCAGCTACAGCAGAAACTGCCTGGGCTTCGAAGACACACAGACTCGACGCTGTCACTGCGGAGGGCAAGACCACGCCCCATTTTTCTCTAACACTAGCCCTGTACCCAGTCTCTAATAAACAAACGATAAACGTCCACTGGATTAGGACAATGCAAATACTGTGTACGCTACAGTAATGGTGGATACGATACGTCTGTAAGTTACACACATCTGTACAAACCTAGAAAATGGACAGCATCGAGAGTGGACCCTAACGTAAACCAGGGACACTGTCTATGACCTGCCAATGTAGTTTCCACAGTGGTAAACAATGTACCCCTCCAGCAGGCAATGCTATTAATACAGAAGGCTGTGCATGTGAATCTAAAACTGCTTTTTAAAAACAGCAACGTAAACATCGCGTACTACAGACATGTACTAATAAAAACATAAAATTTCTAAAAATAATAAAGTTTTCCATTGAATAAATTGATGGATCCTAATTCCAATTAATCTACTTATCTACTATAAAATTTCCAGCAACTCATTAAATCTTATCAACTGACTATTCAGTTGCAAAATGAGACTTTCTTTTCACAATGTCTATCATACCTCCTAATTTTTATTCACTCTTTCAGATTCTTGCACTAGCGAGATAATACATTGCTTACATATAGAGGTCTGGTTTATTTCACTTATGAGTATGGTCTCTAGCTGTGACCATTTACCTGTAAAAGCCTCAAGTTTATCTTTCTTTATAGCTGAGTAATATTCCATTATATAGAAGTACCACCACTTTTCTTCATTCCTCAATGGATGGACATTTGGGTTGCTTCCACAATTTAGCAATTAAAAATTGCACTGCTATGAACATGGGTGCACATATATCGCTGTGATATGATGTTTTGAGATCTTCTGGGAAAATACCCAGAAGAGGAATAGCTGGGTTGAACGGGACCTCTAGACCTAGTTTGCTGAGGAATCTCCAAACTGATTTCCACAGTGGTTTCACCAGTCTGCATTCCCATCAGCAGTGGAGAAGAGTTCCACAGCCTCACCAGCATTTGTTATTGGTTGATTTCTTAATGATAGCCATTCTTACTGGGTGAGATGAAATCTCATTGCTGTTTTAATTTGCATTTCTCGAATGACTAACGATGAACCTTTTCTCATGTATTTATTAGCCATTTGTATTTCTTTATCGAGAAGTGTGTATTCATCTCAGCTGCCCATTTTTGGATTGGCTCTTTGAATTGGTGGGGGGGAGCTGATGTTTTTTAAGTCTTTGTATGTTCTGGATAGATCTTTGTCCAAGGGACAGTCAGCTAAAATTTTTTCCCAAATTGTGGGTTTTCTTTTCACTCTGCTGGTGATTTCTTTAGATGTGCAGAAACTTTTCAGTCAGATGAGATTCCAGTTGATAGACATTGTGAAACAAAAGGAAAATGCGCAAAAGTAAAGAGCAACTGGGGTGAGGGAAAAGAGAAAAGAAAAACGGGGAAACTATGTATGTATGTATAAACAGGATAGCTAACATAGTTGTACTACTGACTTCTACCGCTTCTATCGAAAGGAACAGTTAATGATTACTAATTTGATCAATCTTGCATGTCTCCATTTATTTTCCTGAGAAACCAACCACTTTGAAGATATCAATACATAACAACCATTGTTAATTCCCTACCACTTTGTCTGTAACTCTGTATTGTTTTGTTTTTATGCTATTTTATAAATGGATGTCTGTTTATTAATACGTTTTCCTTCTTTTATTTTTAAAATAAATTTTTTAAAAAATGAGACTACTAAAAAAAAGGCAGGGAGGGGGAAACTACTGCCTTAAAGAGTTTGTATAAGGCCAGGCGTGGTGGCGCACACCTGTAATCCCAGCCCTCAGGAAGCTGAAGCAGGAGGATTACTGTTTGTTCAAGGCCAGCCTGAGCTATAAACTTGAGTTCAAGGCTGGCCTGAATGCACAGTGAGACCTTGTCTCAAAAAGACAAAATAAAAAAGTTTATATAAGGATGAAATAAAAACATGTATAAAATGCTGAAAGCTGGGTATGGTGGTATACTCCTGTAATTCTAGCACTCAGGAGGCTGAGGTATGAGGGTCACTGGAAGTTTAAGGCCATCCTGTGCTACACAGTGAGTTCAACGCCAGCCTGCACTACACAGCAAGACCCTGTTTCAAAAGAGCAAAAACAGCTTGAACTACATAGCAAGATCCTGTCTCAAAAAATAAATAAATAAATAAATAAAAATTTAAAAATGTTTAAGAGCCTGGGCCAGGGATATAGCTCTGCAGCACAAGCGCCTGCCTGGCAAGCACAAGGTCCTGAGTTCAATTCCTGGTACCAAAAAAAAAAGTAAAAATGTTTAAAAGCCAAAAATATAAAATATAATAAAAATAAAATGCTGAGTATAAAGTAAGTTTCAGGCCAGGCATACTGGCACACAGCTATAATCCCAGCACTCAGGAGGCTAAGGCAGGAGGACCACCATGAGTTCAAGGCCAGCCTGGGTTACATAACAAGTTCAAAGCTAGCCTGAATTATGCAGCTAGACTCTAAAATAAATAAATAAATAAATAAATAATAATAAAATAATAAAGTAAATTACATCTCTCTGAAAACTTCTCTCTCTCAACCTCATCTTTGATTGCTGATATTAAGATCTATAATTCCAGCCCAATATCTCAAGTTCTGTATCTCCAATTGACTGTAAGGCATTGGCACCAGTATGATCAATAATCTCATTCAAACCAAGCATGGTGCTGCACATCTGTAATCCCAGCACTTGGGAGGCTGAGGCAGGAAGACTTTTGTGAGTTTGAGGCCAGCCTGGGCCACCTAGTGAGCCCAGGGCCAGCAGGCACCACGTAGCAAGACCCTGTCTCAAAAAAAAAATCTCAAATTCAAAACATCCAAAACTGGAATGGTGTGGCAATGCACACCTACAATCCCAGCACTCAGGAGGCTGAGGCAAGATGACCACCATGAGTTCAAGGCCAGCCTGGGCTACAGAATGAGACTCTATCTCAAAAAAAAGCCTAAGTATCTGAAACTCACCTCAATTTTTCCTCACACACCAACACCACTCAACACATCAGATCAAAACCTTGGAATCATATTAGACTCTTTCAAATTACCACCTCCTCCTAATCATTATATTGAACTGTTTCAGTAAAATCCCTCCCTCCACAGGATGACAATGGCTAGCATTTACATTATTCTTACTATGTGCCAGGCACTTTTCTAAGGTACATATACAGGTGTGTTTAATAAGCAGTTCACCAGTAGGTACGCTTGTTACCCCTACTGTAGAAATAAGGGCACTGAGGCACAGACGTGAGGTAGCCTGCCTAAAGTTGTACAGTGAATCTGGCACTTGCAAACTCCGTCTCTGCCCAGTCACCTGCGTGGTTCTGGTACCGAGATGCCTCTCTCCCAAAGCACCTGCTCTCAGACAGTAGCGAAGCTGAGACTCAGTATGCTTCCTCTGGCTTCTATGTCTATCCAGTCTCAATTCAAAGTAAAGACGGCATCAGGAAATCACTCAGATGGGAAGGGATTCATCTGTTCGGTGTGATATCATCTGCTGCGAAGACTCTCAAACTCCCAGCTCACTCCAGGCTACCACCTCCCACACACCTGGCCAACAGGAGCACCATGTCCCCACATCATGACTAAAGTTAGGAAAAAACAACCTTGCCCCCAAAAGATATGGTTATAAAATCCTCAAAGAGAAATTCTATCATGCTGCTAAGTAAAAATAAATAAATAAATAAAATTTCACAATCCATAGAAATTCATTAGCCAACTACTAATTTATGACCCCAGTTGTTGTAATACTCCCGTCTGTCCGCCTCCAGGTGTGAAAACAGGTACCCGGCAGTGAGCTAACATGTCCTGACCTAGCCTTCCGGTTGGCTTTACTCACAGCCTGATGGAGTCTCCACCCAATCAGGCTGTGTCACACCCTCACCTCGCCCACCTTCCCTCTGGGCCACAGCGAGACTTCTCCAAGCCACTGTAACCCACTCCACTTCTATATCCAGTCCCTAAAGAGTCTTTCCCTACACCAGGGCTTCTCCAGCTCCACAGCACTGACATTTCAGGCAAGACAGCTTTGTTGTCAGGGCTGAGCTGTGAATTGCAAGATAAGAAGCATCCTTGTTCTCTACCCACTGGACACCAGGAGCATCTGTCCCATCCCCAAACCTCCCACCCAAAACTGTCTCCAGACACTGCAACCTCAAGTTGAAAATCACTCCTCTAAAGAGTGTGATGCCCAGGGCAGTTGCATCAGCATCCCTAGGAACTTTCCAGAAACTTAAATTCTCAGGCCTACCCTACTGTGGGGAGCAGTCGAGCTGCGACTGAGCCAAAGGTCACCAAACTCCTTGAAACCAGAGCAAAGCCAGTCCCAAGGACACAGAATGCCATAGGCAGACTGTATGGGTAAGCTGACCTCTAGCTGAGTTGCACACCAACAGGTGTCTGGCCTTGGTGTTCTTCCTTGTTAACTATAGCACAGACAGCTCTGAGAGTGTTCTGATTTTCAGTGTCCTCTGCAAAACACTGAGACCTTGCACTGTCGACCCTGTTGTGTGCTTTTCCCCTTTTTTTACTTTATATAAATAAGGACACTGGGTTTGGGACATTGTTCCTGCCTCAGGTCCCACCTTTCCTTTGATGTGTCATCTTCTTCTTAATCTCCCGTCGGCCCCTCTCAGGACCCCACTTTGCACAGGTCACTGCATCCTACACCTACTGAACAGAACTTCAGGGGAAAGGACTCAGCGATCCAGACACTAACTACCTTCCCAGGTGGTTCTGAAGCAAGCTAAGGATCTGGAACTGCTGATCTAAATAAACCTGGGCCTTTCCTGTGGAGTGTGAGCACGGCTCTGCCCTCCCACATCCAACTCCAGCTTCTGATCCACTTCTGCTAGTTCTACTTGACTCACCTACAACCCTCCAAGCTCAGTTAAGGCTTCTTCTGTTCTCAATTGGAAAACCTTAGTCTCTCCATCTGGCATTTTAGGCTGGAGTCACTACAAGCCCTGTGGCCTCAAAGAGTTTCCACTTATCTCCAGAGACCAAGAGCCAGAAAGAGGTCCTGTAACATCCTCCTCCAAAGTCCAAGTGTCCCTCAAAGAAATTCCTGGCTTTCTTTTGGGCTCCTCCAGCTCCCTGTTATGAGACAGAAGTCACAACCGGCAGGCCCTGGCTTCAAGAACCCCCCCAAGCCTTTCTGACTTGGGTAACCCCAACAAGCCTGTCCAGTGCTAAAGGGTGACTCCCCTCTCCAGTACTTTACAGGGAGTGAGCTTCCAGAGTCTTTTGCATTTCTCAACACAGACACATTAAACACAGAGACAGTCCCCACAAAACATCTGAGAAGTCTATGATCAGAATCCACGTGGCAGGTGACCCTTCATCACAATCCACTACCGGATCCAATTACCAACTTCCTGACTCTTATTTCTCCCTTTCTCAAAAGCAGCTGTCAATGGTTGAGGACGTGGCTCAGTGGTGGCGAGTTTGCCTACCAGGTGCTTCAAACTCTTCCACGGAAAATAATGGGGCAAACCAGTTTGCAATTAGATTCAACTAGGACTCGGGTTCCAGCAGGACCACTCAAAAGCATATATGCTGGGTGAGATGTCACTAAACCTCTTGAGTCCCGATTTTCCCAGTTTACAAGAGATAAATGAGAAATCTACGCCATACTGTTTTGTTTTGTATTTTTTTGAGACAGGGTCTCACTATGCAGTTCAGGCTGGCTTTGAGCTCACTTTGTAGCCCAGGCTGGTCTCAAACTTGCAACGATCCTCCTGCCTTAAGCCTCCTGAGCGCTGGGATTACAGGCATGCACCATCACGCCTGGTGTATCATGGTGCTCTTAAATTCACTAAAATCTCTCAACTTACCACATAAAAATCAACTGTCCATAAATCCTTTCTAAATAATCTATTTTCAGGCTTTAACACTATTATCTCCCACCTTAGCATGCTCTCAAAAAAAAAGACCCTCCAGACCTGGCCATATGTATGGCGTAATGGCAGACACACAGGTTACCCTATGGAGTTGCCTGGATCCCACACCCTGAGATGCAGGTCTCCCCTTGCCCACCCCACACCTACCTATGCTCCCACCCTGCAGGGCTGCCTCAGTCTTCTAGCTCCAAGTGTACTACAAGCCAGCTATCTGGAGCCAAATTATTTCAAAAGTCTCTTTTACATCTAAAATTCTAAAAACAGAATCACCTGAAAAAAAATCAGAATCCAAGCTAATTTTGTATCAACCACAGTGAATATTAAGCAACTCCTGAAGCACCAATGTAAGCCACCAAGAAAATAAAGTATGTTTTCACCCAGGAATAACACCCTGGTAAAGGTGTGCTTGCGTGTACAAGCATCTATGTTATCATTAAAGCTGCTCCCTCATTTGACTTCGCACCAACTGCTCCTTGTTTCCATGGTAACAGCCCTTCCACTCATCAGGGGCCTCTGGAATATACCACTCTCCTCTCTCTCTCCTGCCCAAGGAAGTCCGAGCAGAGGTAGAATCCACAGGAGATGACACAAACAAGCTCACAGGAGGACAGACCCCTCCCCTCATGATCCGCACCCCACATCCTCTCCTCCCCCGCAACATCCCTCTGCCCCCTACCACCCGGGCTCAGTCTCTGCACCCCGTGCTCTCACCATGTTGGAAATGCTGCGGGTGTTGGCAGGGTTCAGCATGACAATCTCAGTGGTGATATGACCCTCCACTGCCTCGGTCATCTCGTCCACTGTGCAGTTGATGGACGGGTCATACGTCTTGAACCAGTTGTCAGCGTACCACCCAATGAGGAACCAGACGTACTTCTTCCCAAAGAGACGCTCCTTGTACACCTGCATGCAGACAATGGAGAGGCCGGGGTATGCTCTGGGGTATTTTGTGTGTGTTCTCACTGGACACTACTAAGCCTTTTGGGAACCAGATCAGAGCAGTAGAATTAAGAAGAAATCTACAAGTCCTGGGTAGCAGAAGGGGTTCAACAACCCTTCCTCCTAAGTTCCTGCCCAGCCCCTTTCCGAGTGGTCTTTCCAGACAGCCAGGAAAGACAGGGTTCATGGGCCTCCACGAAATCAGAAGGAGGAGGAAGGTGAGTACTGCACGTGGCCATATGTGTGCCCACAAGTGTATGTGCATGAATGCATGTGCGCCTGTGTGCACACGTGTGAGACAGCCAGCATGTGCAAAGGATGGAGTCAGAGGCTTCCTATTCATCATCACCTCAGTCACTTGCTATCAATTTGAGCAGAGATGTAGGAAGGAGACCCCAGAAGAAAACCAAGGCACAGTCCACCTAGACATCCCGCCCCCTAGACTCCAACTCCACCTCACAAAAAACTTTCCGGGCTTCGGTCTCATAAAAGAGTCCCACGATGATCCGGGCATCCTGGCGCTGCAAGCGGAGAAAGAAACAGAGCTCCTGAGGGTGCATGGGCGCTCAAAGCTTTGCTTTCCCACCCCAAAGTGCTTGAAGTGGGGTCGTGTGCAATGGGCAGTGGGGAATGTCAACTACAAGACAGAGCTCATCCTCCCCAAGCCACTGCCGCCCCACAGGAACAAGCGTTCCCCGACTCTCCTCTCCAGCAAACCTCTGTTCCTCAGCTGCCTCTCTGCAGGCTGAGCCCTCCACACCCAGCCAGCCCACCTTCAGGTTTTTGACGGGCACAGCTGGATCCGAGAAGAAACTCTGGCGGAAGGTAATCTCGATTCCAGCCTCCTTCACCCGTTCCTCTAGGTCGTCCAGGGTCTACAGTGGGAGTGAGAAGCAAAAAGAAGTACAGGGTGCACAACGGGGTAAACAGGGCTGTTAAATGGAGACCACACACTCAGAGCAAAGGAGCGGGGCTCAGAGCCGTCCTCCAGCGGCTCTGCTCTTCGTGAGCAGAGTTCCAGGGAAAGCACCTCGGTGCTTGCAGACAGCTTCCAGGTGAGTCTGTGTTAGGGACGCCACTGGATTCACCCTCCTATCACTGAGAGGAGAACACAGCGGAGGCACAAGAGACGAAGCAGGGGCTGCAACAGACGGCGGGACGCAACCTCAAGGGTAAAGGGCAGATGGACAAAAGGTTCACAGAACAACAGCCAAAAACACCGAGGAAAGAGGATGAAAAGCCACTAAGCACGAGTGGGCAGAGGACTCAGCAACAAGCACAGACAGGAGGCAGCAGATGGCCCTTTTCAGACACGAAGCCCTGCCTTCCTCTCTGCCTCAAGTCTCCCCGTCCCTTCACTGCTCTTTGTCCTTGTGTACTACCAGACCCGTGTCTGTGTCCAGTCCGCCGGCCTCTCTCCCTCTGCCCCTTCACTCCCTGTCCTCCTTCCCGTCTCCCTCTCCACTGCCATTCACAGCCCTGCTGCCCCACTTGGGCTCCCAGTGTACTGCTTCCTAGTCCCTTCCTCCTCCGGACTCAACTTGGGATTGAACCTGCTTTAATAGAACGGAGCCACTTCGGGTCTACCCATCAGGGGAACAGAGAATCAAAAGGAACATAAAATCATAAAATAAAAAAGATGGGTTCCCAAACTCCACTCCCTTGTCCCCCTCGCTACAGAAAGAACTTGCACTGCACTCACTTGGAATGCACTAATTTAAAAAAAAAAAATCAAGACTTCCCACCAAATTGAATCCTGTCTCATCTCTCCCCACAGCACCTGGAGTGGGTGCCCCTGGATCCTACCCCCAGCCCCTCCTCACCGATGTGAAGACCTCCGTGGTCTGCTGGATGGTGGCAATCTTCTTCCAGCCCCACTTTTCAAAGAGTTTCACACGGGTGGGGTTGTGCAGCGTAGCTGATGGGTGTGTTCGGAAGAAGGTGGGGAAACGCTGCCGGTTTGACAGGGCTGGTGAGCTGGAGCCGTAAGAAAGCTAAGAGGGCCAACGATAGTGCAAACACAATGTCCGCTGTCCAAAGTCCCTGGCGGGTTCCTCTGAGGCTGCCCGGAGCTCCTTTAACCCTTCCCTTGCTTCTGGGGCTGTCTCCCTGCTTTCCCCCAGCCTCCCTCCCTGTGTCCTAAGAAAGGTGAGTCTAGAAGGCACACGCCCCCCTCACAATCAGGGTGCTCTGTCTGATCTATTTCAGTTCCTTCCAACGAGGAACCAGGTCAGGCTGCCTCTCAAGGAGGCTGACAAGCTCAGGTCTGCAAAGTGCTCTCAATTCTGATGTGGGTTCCTCTCCCCTGCCCTCCTCAACATAAACCCACCACCCGCACTTAGTACAACCCCAAGGGAACCACCCACCTTCTGGCCCTCACAGGCCTGCTTACCACAATGAGGTTCCACATCCGGGCAGCCTCAGCCACAAGTGTGGAGACAGAGCTGCAGCCAGGCATGAGGATGATCTTGATGGGGTCATTGTAGAGCAGCTCATACAAGTACTTGGTGGCTTGGCCTGGGTCACACTGAGCAAGGAAGGAGGGGACGACACAGACTCACCAAGGCCCTCTTCCCCTTGTAATTCCCGCTGCCCCATCTTCCCCGACAACCTAGTTCCTCCCTCGGTTACTCTCCTTCATTACAATCACCATATTCTCTTCCTTCCTGACATCTCTTTTGTCAGGACTGTTTCTCCTCTGTCCCTAAACTCCCTTCTGTCTTCCGTCTGATCCCTTGTCCCTCTCCCCTCCGGCACACGCCTCCTTCAATACTAACCCACACACACCTTCTCTGTCTCCACTCATCCTGAGACATCCCCAGGCCCACCTGCACGGCACCCTCCTCCCCACCCACCAAAATCCCCAGGTTCCCACACAGCTTCCTCAAAGCTGGTTATGAAATGTCCTCCTTTGTCTCTGCAAAATCCCTCTCCCTGTCTTCTTTTATCTTCCTGTTTTCCCTCCTCTCTTTTCAGGGCTAGTGATAAATAAACAAAGAGAGAACCGGAACAAAACCAACAGGGGGTCTGCTCCATGCCCCCTACCCGCTCCTGCTGGGCTCCACCACTGGACAAGTCCATCAAGAAAACAGACAAGCAAGGCTAGAAGTAGCGAAGATGCTCAGAGGAAAGAATGGGAGAATAAATAGAATGGAACTCTCCAGAAACCAGATGTTGCTTTAAAGAAAGGCACAGAGCTAGGAAAAGCAAGCAATTCAGAAAGCAGGAGAGAAGCTGGGAGGAGGGGAGTGCGGGAGGGAGGGAGCCAGTCGTGGGTCTCCCCTGCTGAAATATGACATTTCGGAAGCTGCTGGAGCCCCAGAGGAAGTGGAAAAGAAATGGCAGCCAGTGGGGAGCCAGGAGCAGCACAGGGGACCAGGAGGGTGAGCTAGGGGTGCAGCGCTGCGATGGAAATAAAGAAGGCCCCCTGGAGCCCGCTCACGCCCCACTGAGAGCTGACATTTGGGACGCTGTGGGAAGCTAAAGGGCAGGGGCAGGGGCAGAATCCAGGGCCACCTGAATGCTGCTGACTGCCCACCCTCGCCTGCCAGGAGCTGTGCTCACCTACACTTTGAAGGTTTCCTCTTCGTGCCTCCCACCTGGGCGCCTCTGTGTAACTTTACCGTTCTGGGGTCCCTCCGTCCTGCGCTTTCCTGGCATCTCTCACTCCAGACCCCAAGCCAGCTTCCCCCCAAGGTCCCTCAGCACCCCTGCTCTTCTCCCCCGGAGTGAGAATGTTAACAGGAACAAGGAGGATGGACACACAAGAACCTACAGTTCCTATAAACACAGCAAGGGAATCAGTCCTGACGTGTGCAGCCTCTTCTCTTTGTTCATTTTTCTTCATATTCCTTCCACACCCTATCCACCTCTGAAGACCCTCACTTGTAAGCTTCTCCCCCTCCCAGTACACTTCCTTCATTCTCCTCCTCCTTGGCTCTTGCAAGGGTCAGCACTAGCTGGCAGGGAAGGGGTCCTCTGCAGCTTTTGCTATCTTCCCCTCCAGCTCCCACTCTTAGGTCCCCCAGCTGCTCCTGACCCCTGCAAGGGACCACCTGTCACTGTGGGGGGCCTGAGTCCCCAGCCTGGCCTCCCATCGCCATCGCCAGTCTCAGCACTCATTCCATCAACGCCCACCAGGCATCCCTCCTGCTCCCCCAAGCCCGACTCTTTCAAAAGACCTGACCACCTGCTTTTCTTCCTGCCTCCCCAAGCTACAGCTAATTCTTCCCGTGCACCCTGCTGCTCTTTCCACAGGCATCCTGGGGTGAGTTCTACCAGGCAGGGTTTCTGTCTAAAGATACAGATACTATCTGGGATTCCTCTGGGACCAAGGAGTTAGAAAGCACATATACACTTTTTTTGAGAGAGAGAGAGAGAAAGAGAGAGACACGGAAGGGAGCTCACTATGTACTCCCAGCTGGCCTTGAACTCCTGACGACTGATTACAGGGGTGTGCCACCACATCCAGTTTTTAGTATCTATATTTCTGCTGGGCCTGGTGGTGCACATCTATAATCCCAGCACTCGGGAGGCTGAGGCAGGAGGACTGCTGTGAGTTCAAGGCCAGCCTGAAATGCATAGCGAAACTGTGTCTCAAAAAGACAAAAAAAGAAACAAACAAAAAGAATCTGTATTTGATTCGTGCGGTGACTCTTGTGTACACTGACATCTGGGACACACAGAGGGGTAACAACGGTCCGAAGGGATTTTCAGTTCTCTCTCCAAGCTCCTGACAACGCTTGTGCTCTCCTCTTCCCAAAGCACCTTGCCTGCACCCCTATTCCTGGTCCCTCTCCCCTCACCTGTTTATTTTTAGATGTACGTTCATGTTCTGGAAAATGAGTATAAAGCCGGGGCACACCCCAAAGTGTGAAATCAACAAATCCTCACCTTCTCTATCACCCTACTCCGATCCCCTATGTGAGAGAAGGTAAATCTGATGAGGCTCCAAATCTCCTCCCTTCTCTGTGCTACCCCTCCTCATTCCCCCGTTGCTCACTTCGCACTCACTACAGATCTTCCTCCAACATCCCCTTCTCCCTTCCTTCTCCTTCGAACCCTGTACCCCGTTTTTCATCCCACATCCTAGAGGCCATAGCGCTAAACGGGAAGGTAAAATCGCGGCCCAAGTTCCGACGACGCCCCAGGACCCCTCCGGAGGGGATCCTCCAGAGCACTATCCCCTCTCCCCTTTTCCTCCCTCCCCCACGCCATTCTTTTTCATTCTTTCTCCTCCTGTACCCTGACTTCTCCAGCCCCATGTTGTCGAGAGGGTGCCCATGTGAGCCCCGACCAGCTCACCCTCCCGGCGCCTCCGCCCAGCTCTTGGCCACGCTCCGCCCAGCCCCTACAGGTCACATATCCCACAGCCCATCGACCCTCAACAGCGCAGAGACGGGATTCGGAGTCAGGGAGGGCGACCGCTACCTTGCTGTTTGTTTTGGTAAATAAGCTAGAGCTCTGAAGTCCCTCAAAAATCTTCTCTATCTCTCTACTCCTTCCGGCCACAACCTACGCAAGACCTACCTTGTTACCATGGTAAACGTAAACCCCACCTCTGACATTCCTGGAGCCCCCAACCAGCCCAGGACTAGTTCACTGTCCCAGAGAACCAGGAGCAGCGAGACGCTAAATCCACCACCAGGTCCCCACCCTCCACACTCCCACCGGCCTCTCCCCTCCCGGCAGGGCACAGCTGATGGCCACCGACCCCTGGACCTCACCCCGCAGCTCCAGCCCCCGCCTCTCGCCCAGCCCCTGAACCCCGCTCACCTCCCGCGGGCCCCGGGAGGTCTGGCTCCCGGTCCGAAGCGGCGGGCACAAGCCCCCTCCCCGCCGCCCACTCCCGCGCGGGCTACCTTGCTGTCGTGGTGGATGAGCTTGAGCTCATAGTCCGGCAGGATGTCCCTGCGGCTGTTCACGTCCTCCAGCGCCATCTCCACCGCCGGCTGGCAGGCCTGGCCCCCCGGCCAGCCCCCGCTCATGGGGAACAGCGCCCCGATGTAGACTGCGCGCCGCTCTGGAGAGGGGTGCGGGGGGACCCTCGGGTGAGGACGCGGGAGGTGCGGGGCCTGGGAGGCCCACAGAGGAGCCACCCCCGCCGCCAGCGCCACCAGAAGCGGCAGCGGCCACCCCGCCCGGGGAGACGTGGGCCCCGAACCCATGGCGGGAGGGGACCAGCTCAGGGGGGGCACTTCTCCCGCGGAGGGCTGCTGAGGGGGCGTCGGAGAGGCGCCTCCATCCCCGGGGTCGGCAGGGGAAGGGCGGGCCGGGGCCGAGGAAGCGGGGAAGGTGGGCTGCGCGCGGCCGGGCTCCAGCACGCCACGCACACCGCGCCGCCGCGCGGACTCTCCTCGCGGACTGACCGACCGAGGAGGAGAGGAGGGAGAGGAGGAGGGGGAGGAGAGGAGGAGAGGCGGGCGACGATCGGGAGGGGG